GTACTCGGTGCCTCTTAGGGCCCAGGCTTTGTCTTGGAATTGGGAACAGCTGGAGCTTGTATGTTAGTGAGGAGCCCAGACCCTAAACACATTAGCAGGTCTCAGCGCTGTGGGGAGCAGAGCAGGTCAGGGCTAGCAGGGGACTTCATAGCATAGGCCAGGCCCCTCCAAGCAGGTGCTTCGTCCTTCACAGCGAGGCCTGGGAGCTGACCAGGAAGGCAGGTGGTGGTGGTGGGGGTATGACCTTACTCTGAGGTGACACAGAGCCACAACTGCAGTCATGGAAGCCCTTTCACTGTGTCTCCTTAACTGAGTGGAATTGTCCTGTAGACTTAGCATTATTCAGGATGGAGGAAAGTCAGCCTCTCCTATTGTACACTTAGTATAGAGATAGAGATTTTCCTTTGCTGCCCAGGCTCTGGGACCTCTCCATCCGATGGTATAAAACATTGGTTACTTGGTACTGAGTTCAGGTTTCATGTAACAGCACTGCTGGTGAACCTGCAGCCTCAGTTTCCACATCTGTAAGTTAGGGGAAAATACCCAGCTTGCAAGGCTGTTGTGGGAACAGTAGATGGTATGCATGAAATTTCCAGCACACCGTGTTGGGTAATCAGTAGCCAGTGTTACTTGCCATATGGCTAGCTTATGTATGTCTTAAGATATGGTAGCCAAATACAAATATTCCTCAGATTTCAGCCCTAGGAAATTATTCTGTAAGACACAGCATAATTTTGGGTTCCCATGCCTATGGACTCCCTATCCACTGCCTACTTGAACTTTCCAGAGGACAGTAGTGGGAAGGTAAAGTTGGGTAGGTAGGCCCTGAAAGGCAGTTTATGGGTACCAGTGTAAAACACAAATAAATACAGTGTGTGAGGTCAGCCGGATGACGCCAAAGAATCGTGTATTTTTGTATGTTTGCTTTTTCATCCAGCATCTAAACTGTCTTGTTTCATTCATGTACATACTTAGTTTCTTCAGGTACATGAGAAGCTGACAGAGAGCAGTCCTCTGAGAGTTCTCCTAAAGAGGGTCAGCTGTTGGCAGGCGTCCTGAGCCCTGGCATACTGGAAAGACTCGTGCATGAGGAAGCTGTTCTAGTGGGCTTCCCTGTTCTCTAGGGGAAAATATCCTTCTCTGCGCTCAGCTCTGTGCAGCTCAGCACTGACCCTGGGGCTCCTGCATAGCTGGGAACCCTGTGTCAGGTTAGTCTCAGCCATGTTACACTCCTGTGCTCTGCTGGTCAGATCCCAGTTCCTGACCTGCTTCACTGAACACTCCAGATTTAGCTTACTCTGAAATATACACAAAAAGAGAAGAAAAGGATTTGGACACTATGTCTCCTTTCAAACTTAGCAGTTTGTGTCGTGATCTTAACACTTTGCTTTTCATTTATTTTGAAAAGCAGTGGACTTACAGTGAAAATAGCTATTCTGATGGAATATGTTTTAAATGCTCTATGAAACGAGTATGAACAAAATAGAACAAACATAAGATTTTAAATCACCGATTTGTACAGAACACCAGGAAATGGCTTCCCGTTTGAGGTGTCCTGGTTTATGTTGACCTGTGGCTAGTGCAGTTAGGGAGGGCAGGAGTCCCAGTTGGTAGCATTGTGGCAAAAATCTGAGTGCATACATTGTGGCCCGTCTCCTTCCCAAGTACAGAGACGGATGGCTGAGGCAGGAGTGTCTGGCGGGAGTTATGTAAACCTTGGTCAAGCAGACTGTCTCAGATTCCTATAAAATCTGTTCCATTCATCTGTTTCTGCTGATCACTACTACCTCCAAAAGGTCTTTCTGCAGTAAGAAGACAGAACAGATGCAGGAGATCACTGGGTCTCACGTGGCGCTGCTTCCCGGAGTAGAGAAGATCATTAGGTCAGTGCCGGGGTGCTGGTAGCAGCAGTGGAGGTGCTGGGGAGGGAGGCTTGCTTGCTGAGATACGGCTCTTCAGTCAGGTCCGTTTCTGGTGCTGTTGATTTTCTCTAGATTCTACTTTCCATATGGAATCATTTCTCTTTGGTATGAAGGCATCTTAGCATACTATGTAGTACAGTTCTGCTGGCTACAAACTCAGACATATGTGAAAAATGTCCTTATTTAACCTGTATTTTTGAATGATATTCTGGTTTCTCCCCCTGCCGTTCCCAAGCAACCACTGATATGTTTTCTGCCACTATAAAGTAGTTATATTTTCTAAACTTCATATAAGTGGAAATATACAAGTATTTATTCATTAGTCCAGCTGCCTTCATGCAGCGTAATAAATTTTCGGTCTCTCCACCCTGTGTGCCGATAGTTCATTACTTTATACTTGTAGTATGATAGTGTGACTGCCCAATTTAGCACATATTGATGAACATTTGGAGGTTTTATTTAACTACTACAAGTAAAGGTGCTACAATTTATGTAAGTCTTTTGGAAATACGCTTCCTTTCCTCTTGAGTAAATACCTAGAAGTGGCATGTAGGTCATGTACTTATGTGTTTGTTTTTAGCAGACTGCCAAGGTGTTTTGAAAAATGGTTGTTCCTTTTACTAAATTCCCACCAACCTTAAAGTGAGAAATCAGGAATACGCAATTAAATAAGACCCTCCCTGCCTCTATTCTTTGGCTGTTTATTGTATGTGACTGCAAGCTGAATTGTAAACCTTGGAACCTGGACTTTCTTGTGGGGGGCAAGAAGCTGTTCTGAAGTGGACTCAGGGTTATTTGTGGGAGAATTTGGTGGCCCAGGGAACCTGGAGCACGGTCTAAAGAGGGGACATATGGTCTTGGTAAGCATGGTTGTTTGGTTCAGAGAACTGTTTTTCTTGTGTGGAAGGGTGAGCCCAAAGGATCACCACAGAATGGCCCAGATATACAAACGTAATTATAATCAAGTTTCTGGTTTCCCACTGTTGGCTGCTGTTCTGTCACCCCTAGAAGCCCTAGTCATAGTATCTCCGGAGGGCATCATGCTCACAGTGTGTTCATGTGTGAATTTTTCTCCTTGATGTGCTCTTTTTTTCCCTCTCCATCCAGACAATGCCCTGCGGTCCCTCAATACTCAGTGACAGCGTCCTTTCTTTCTGGAAATCTTGCTTTTTAAGAGATTTTAACTAAGGTGCTTTTGGCCATCCTTTTGTAGCCCATTCCCTACAAACCTCTCCTAGTGCTTTTTAATTTGTCACTCTAGATTGAAAACTATGTGAACCACAAAATCACTTGATCTTGTGCTTCGGCATCCAATACAGTGCTAGCACATAATAATGCTCAAGTAATGGGCTACCGAGTACATCAATGAATGAACGGAATGCTTTTTATTAATCTTATTCGTTCTGTACACTCTCCATATTTCCCTTTTTTCTTCTTTCACTGTGAGACTCTGCAAGTTTATACAAACGGAGCAAGGTTTATGACCTTTTAATTAGTTTTTTTTTTTACTCTGAAAATGTTGAAAAATGGATTTTGAACCTTAGCAAACAGACTGCAAAAGTTTAAACATTTGTTCATGGATGTGGCAATGGCAGCTGTCACAGACGTCTGTGGGATTATTTACCATTCCTTGTCAAGAAAGGAGGCACCGGTCAGATCTGCCTATGCTAACAGCAGGACAGATAGACCTGGTCAGGCTGAACTGTTAGGCAGCTGGCTTTCCCAAGCCCAGAGCACACCTGAGAAGCCAAACATAAAAGTACTTAATTGGCTTGATTTATAGCTAAAATACTTTTATAGAGATACTATGAAATAAGGAAAATGAAGTTCCTCACACACTGGCCAGCAGAGGTAGGTGTTTGTGAAAGTTAGTCTCTTCTCCTCATCCTCTTTCTTAAGGTTCCCGAAGACCTAAATTTCTTCTCTTGGGGTCAAGGCATGAAGACAGACTGAGTGACGTGTGCCTGTCACCAGTGTGTACATCTCTTATCAGATGCCGTGGGTGAATTTCTCCTGTGTGGCACTCACACTTTGAGAGTGAGGTGCTTTCAGGGTCTCAGCTGTACTTCAGCCATTGAATCCAGAGCCATTAAGTGTAAATTTCTCAAGACCAGCACACTTAACTCACAACCAGGGGCTGCCCGCCGGCCCAAAGTCCTGGAAACACTGGGTGGTACTGTCTCATTCCCCTTGCTTACGGAGGGGCTCTAGACCTTTGTAGCAGGGGCAAGGACTCCGTAGCGGGTATTTTGAGGACAGTAACAGAGAGCATAAATGGGAGCTAGATCTAGTTGCCAGAGGCCAACTTAAAGATCTTAAGATTTTTAGTAGCAATATTCCATTCCTACCTGGACAGGACTTAATGTGGTACACCTGCCTAGCAGCCTTTACTATTAAGTAGAACATGAATATATACATAGAAAAACATAAAGGTAATAGAAAAATACACCTAGTGTTTTTTTCTTACTCAGTTTTCTTACTTAAAAGGCAAGTCCTCTTTAAGCCTGTGGATTTGGCTCCCTGAAGTACAGTGCATTTCCATGCTGCAGTCATAGACTTGCCCTGGTGTCCACACACAGTTCTTATTAACTGTAGCAGAGGAAGTTGCTTATGGGACAGGTTAGCCTCTAAACATGTTTAGAAGTAGGTGGAATTGAGGTCAATAACCCTGCAGTATGTAAATGTGCCAAGTTTGTTTTCCAGAATTCCTTTTGCCTAACGAAACAAAGGAGGAATTGTTTTCTTCATAGTTTTGCAAGCTTGTACCAAGTGAAGAGCTGCGTTTTCTAGCCACTTTCCTTAGTCTCTGTAGTCAAAACTCCTTGAAGCTGGGACCTTTGGGTAGCTTATAAATACATCTGGTACTAGTTTGTTTTAAGAAAAAAATTTTTTTTGAGACGGAGTCTCACTATGCAGTTCAGGTTGACCTTGAACCCACTGTGGAACCCACGCTGGCCTTGAACTCACGGCAGTCTTCCTGCCTCAGCCTTCCAACCGCCGGGATTACAGGCATGTACTGTCACACCTGGCCTTAAGAATTATTTTTAAAGCACTTAATTTTTTTCTGTCTCTCTTCAGGAGCATCTAAAGGCCTTCGATGATGAAATCAATGCCTTTTTGGACAATCTGTTTGGACCTCGAGGTGAGTGAGCTACTTAAGAATTTCACGTGGAAAGAACTTTCAAGGAATGGTATAAAGAGGATAAAAGGAGGAGCTGGGGATATAGCACAGTGGCATAAGTGCCTGCCTGTCAAGTGCAAGGTCCTGAGTTCAATTCCTGGTACCGGGGAAAAAAAGGATAAAAGGATGATGTTGTCTGATGTCCTGAGAATAGCATGTAATGTAACACTTCGAAACTTTGACTTCCTTCCTTTTTGATGTCTGTCTCCCAGAACATCCCAAAGGCCCATTCTCCTGCTCGGTCTCTCTCCCCTGGGGTAAAAAAGAACAGCAGGAAGCAGGACATGTGAAATATGTACAGTGCCAGGCTGTGGCTTTCTTCTAAGCTAGGCTACTTTGCTCGTCCTTCTCCGCCGCCCACCTCCTGCTTCCTTGCATGTGCAGTCATCTGAGACTGCCTGCCTTCTGGGCCTCTGACCAGATGTCACCTTGCTGTGCTTTGGCCCATGGGGATGAACATGGCAGGCCTGTTTCCTCCATCGCCAGTCATTCGGCCCGCAGCAGCCTCCTGGCTTCCAGCCACTTGCTGTCAGCTACCCTAGCCTGAACAATGAAACCACACTCTGCTCCTCTCCCTTCACCTCGCCAGCATTTCCCACTGCCAGCAGGGTGAAAAGCAGACTTCCTGGCTTGGACTCTGCCCTTGAATGCTCTGAGCCCCGCCGCCTCTCCCACATAACGCCAGGCTTCTTCACTCACTCTGGCACAGCCTTTAACTCCTCAAACCCACACCGCCGCATTATATGCAGCTCTGGGCCTGGAATTCCCTGTCCCCACCCCTCACTCTGGTCAGCACCTTCTCTCTTGTATCTCAAGCGTCAGATGGGACTTTCTGAGACAGCTTTTCCCCTGCAAAAGCAGATCTTCTTATCCCATCCCGTTTCTTTCTCCACGAGCCTCATTGCAATCCCAGATGGGCAGGAGCCAGTGTACTGGGACACTCACCTCCAGGGCTGACCCAGGGGGCCGGGACCACACTGGTGCTCTATGTTTTGCAAATGGTTTAGACAAAATGTTTTGTTCCCTTAAGCCTCACTGGTTCACAAACCTATAGAAAACTCACAGTTCTTTACAAGTTATCTCAGCAACACTGGAGGAGAGAGTAGAGGAAGAAAATGAGGTTTTCCTGTTTCCCAAAGTCTTTAAATAACCACTTAGAGATTATTTGGCCCATTCCCCAGTTTCTGTACAGGCTCTGTAAACTATTCCAAGTGAATGACTATTTATATAGCTTTAACATGATGCTCTGTGTACAGCTGGATAAGCAATATTGTCGCATTCATTGTCTCCTCAGGAGCCTATGGGGTAGGCGGGGCAGCCCCCGTGTCAGTAGAGTCCCCGCAGTTCTGGCGGGCTGGAGGAGGCATCTCAGTGTGGCGGGCACAGCTCTCTTCTTACTCACGCCAGACCCATAGGAACCGAGATTGCCGGTGACTGTGGTGCTCTGAGTAACACTCCCGCCAGGCAGTTACACAGCAGCTGCTGGGAGCCAAGGTCACCCTGACCTGCGAGATCAGTGTGACCTGGAACAGTGCAGATAGGGGATTGCTGGGGAGAGGATTGCAATTATTTACTCAGCTTTGTTCATTTTTTAATGAACATTTTCCTTTATACAATGAGACAGTTGACAGCTGGTTCACATGAGACCTCCATAGTGATAGGGTGTCCTGCACCTAAGCCATGAAGAATCTTCTTCGCTCCAGTAGATACCCAAGCTTATGTTGACTGGTATGACATCTGGTGACCTTCTAGGCATCGTCTGGTCTTTCCTGGTTTTGTGCACAGTATGTCAGCACTTCCGGGATATGCCTGACACAGATACAGAGCTAAGAAATGTACTGCAGGTACTGGTTCCCACGTCTTCTCTTTGGAGCAGCTAACAGTAATAACCCTTAAGTGCAGCAAACATTTATGGGAGCATGAAAGAAAACGATTTCGGGTCCTGTATTCATTCTGCAATATGTCTTGACTCAGTGTGCCAGTTGATATATTTTTAATGAATGTTTCCTTTTTAACTCAGTGCTAAGTGGATGTCGGACAGAGGAGAGAGAGAACACCTAGTCAGTGTTTAATGAAGCATATACTGTAGTTGGGGAGGTAAAATTAACACATTTGAAATAAATGAAGAGCAATTAAGTATAAAACACATATGTTCATTTCCTAGAGCAACCATAATGAAGTGCCATGAACTGGGTAGCTTCCAGTAGCAGAAATTTATTCTCATAATTCTTGAGGCCAGGAGTCTAGAACCAAGGTATTGGCAGGGGCCTACCCTCTCTGAGGTCGTAGAAGAATCTGTTAGGAGCCTCTATCCTAATTTTGGTGGTGGCTGGCACCTTGGGTGTTCCTGAACTTGTAGGTGGTCACCCCTCTCCCTTCGTGTGGCTTTCTCTGTGCATCTCCTGAGCCCAAACCCCCCCCCCCCGCCAAGCCCACCTTTACCCATTCTGACCTTTTTTTAACTTGATTACATCCTCAAAGACATTGTAAATCGTCATAGTCATAGATGTCAGAAATTAAGACTTGAATATATTTTTGGGGGGGCACAGCTGAACCCAGAACGCCATTAACAGAGGCAAGGTACAAGTTTAGTACAAGTTAAATTTTTTCCTGTTGCTCAGTTTTTCTCAGAAGTAAACTGAGCATAGTACTATTGCCTATGTGATAGGATTGCTTTTTGAATTGAGTACATTAGTACAGGGGTCACGGGAAGATGGCAGATCAGTAAGTAGCAAGGTAAAGAGCCTGTCTGAGAGAAACAGCTCAGACACTAGAATTTAACACCATGGAGACCAGACGAAAGAAGAGGGATTCTTACAACCCAGGAAAAAAGCTAAGGAAAAAGAAAAAAAACTGGATGGAAGGCTGGAGCCAGACGTGGTCTCACTGGAGCCAATCCCATGATGTGTTAGGCACCCTGGAGTCTGAAAACTCAAGGATGTGCTGAAGTTAGGCTTTGCCAAGCCTGAGGACCTCAGCAAGAGGACACATCGAAACAGAGAACAGAGCTGGCGTGGAGATCTGCACTGCACTGGTGGTGAGTGCTCGGAATTTGGTCCTTCCACGGGAGGGAGCAACGGGCTGGGTGACATCTTGGGATCAGGCAGGATGGGCCTGAACCGGGAACCATAGCAGCTTCAGTTGGCTGCTCCTGGCCCAGAGCAGATTGGTAGGAATGGCTTGGCAGGACCCAATAGTCAGGGATGAAGTTGCCCCTGAAGCAGTCCCAAACTCGTTCCATCCATGTGGCACATTCTAAGGTGGTAAAGAGCCCTGGTAGTTGACTGGCTCAGAGGAGAGGGGCCAGCCTGCGCTGCCCCTGCTTGTACCTCAGTGATCAACAGCAAACTGGAGAGGGCAGTAATACCTAGCTAACACACTTCAGAGCAACTGTAACCAATACAGAAAGGGCCTGGGACCTCCATTATACACTTGTCGGGCAGAAACCAGAAACATGACAAGAGAAAGAAACAACAACAAAAAAAGTCTCCAGCCGCCAGCCCAGGGAATATGGGTCCAGGAGAGGTAAACACAGAACAGACTGAGGGCAGCAAGCCTGCAGTATTGGCAGCTGCATCAGCTTACATAAATATCTTCATGACATTATAGAAGATCTCAAAAATACTACTACAAGTAAAGCAAGATATAAGAAGATAAATAAAAGAAATGCTAAGCACCTCTCAAAAAGACAGATGGAAGAATGGAGGAACACAGAAAAAAGAGGGAAACCTTTGATGAAGAATATAAAAAAATTTAGAATAAATGAAACAGATTCAAAGAGATTACCAAGAAATTAAAAACTCCATTGAAAGCTGGCAAAACTGCTTGAAAGAAACTAACGATAGACTATCAAAACTTGAAGACAGGTTTGCAGTGTGTGATCGTGAAAAGAAGGATCTCTTAAAACTAAGAAGGAACCAGGAAGTAACAATACAAAGGCTAGAAGATGACAAGAGTATCTATAACTTAAGAATAAAAAATGTGAGTGAAGAAGCAGAGGTAAACACAAATGAAATACAAATGCTATTCACAGAAATAATCAAGGAAAACTTCCCAAGCATAGGAAAAGGAAATGATGTTCAGATATTAAAACATACAGAGAGCTCCAACCAGCTACCACCAAAACAGATCTACACCCAGACATATAATAATCAAGCTGCCAGAAATTCATCACAAGAACAAATATTAAAAGCCATCAGAGAAAAAAAATAGATCACCTATAAAGGAAAACCCATCAAAATCACGACAGACTTCTCGACACAAACCATCAAATCAAGAAAAGCTTGGAATGAAGTATTCTAAGTCCTGAAAGAAAGTAACCTCCAGCCCAGATTGCTGTACCCTGAAAAACCATCTCTCAAAATTAATGGAGAAACAAGATGCTTCCATGACAAAGAGGAACTGGGGGAATTCATGACCACCAATCCAACCCTACAAAAAATACTAAAGAACATTCTGGAGAGAGATAAAAAAAAAAAACAGACCTGGGTTTCAGGAACAGCGGCAGAGAGGCTTCAGTGAACAGGGCAGACAGTGGAATGAAGGAGAAAAATAGACAACCAATGACAGAAAAATAGCATAGCAGAGATGAGGCAGAGAAGGTTGGCTGTAATCTCTAATGTAGATGGCCTGGATACACTAGCAAAAAGAAACACAGGCAGAGTAGATCAGGATATAGGGTCCATCAAGGTGCTCTGCACAGGAAATATAATCAACCTGAAAGAGGGTTTATGGACTGAAAGTCAAAGATGAGAAAACAATGCTCTATGTGACAGGGAACCAGAGAAAAATAGGGATAGCATCCAGCAGCTGTAGGCAGGTTGGAAAGACATGACACTTTTGTGCAGTGGAGAACTCCTCAGCTATAAGGAAGGAAAACCTTGAGGCTTTTGTAGAGAAGGGAATACAGCTTAAAATCAAGCTCAGGGGTAAAAACGTTTAGAACCACTTAGGTAAATAGTAGGCTGCCTCCCTAATCTAAAAATTAAAGGGGTTAGTGGGACCCCTAGTGGGAAAGGAGAGGAATTGTCTTAAAAAGGCAGGCAGAGGACATTGTTAATAGTGTATCGTGATTTAAAATCCACATTGTTCTCATCGCTCTGTTTAGTTTGGTTATATTCTGTTCCAGTCTGTTTACTTGTACTAGATTTGAGGTCAAAAACAGTTATTCCAAAAATATATATTATGGTGACCATCCTTAATTTCCTATTAACTTAACTGAAGCCCTGTATTACTTTCACTGTCTTATTATGACTGATCTTATTTGAATACGGTTTGTTAGATTGCTGTCTTAACTGATTTTAACTGAATTTTTTATGTTTCATAGTATCAAGTCTGAGTATATAGGCAACCAGTCTGAAGATGGTAAGATTCACTAGGATACCCACTCTGGTTTGACTGTTACCTGCTTTTGAAGTCCTATAATGTCTCCAGTGTTTTGTTTTTATGTGTATTGCTCTGTACTCTGATCAATTTTACTATGTCTGATATAGATAATTCTATTAATAACAAGAGACATCATAGTAACCATTGTAGATCACCTTGTATTGTGGTTGTAATCTTGTACTGTATCCATCCTTTTGTTTTGAGCGACCCTGTTTTGTTTTCTCATTTGGTTTTGTTCTTTTCAAAATAAAATTTAAAAAAGAGAAAATATTAGTACATACAAAAGCATGTAGATAGTTTACAGTAAAAAATAACTTTCATGCAAAGGAGGGGATGTAGTTATGAAAAGCCATAGGAGATGGCTCCCGTCGGAGGGCAGGCTCTTTATCTGGGCTTTAATGGAGGAGCAGAACTTACCCGTGGGGACGGATGTGAGGAAACATATGGCACAGACTTTGACAGGTGATTAGGGGCCAGGTGGTGAAAGGTAGTGGCTGCATCACATGGATGCTGAGCTTTTTTTTTTTTTTGTCTTTTTCCTTTTTATCAGTACCAGGGATCGAACCTACGACTGCCTGCTTGCAAGGCAGGCTCTTATGCTGCTGAGCTAAATCCCCAGCCCCTAGATGCTGAGCTTTTTACCTTCTTCTTTTCAGTACCAGCAGGAGAAGTTTACAGAGTAGTGGAACAGAGCTCTGGAAGGCACTTTCCTTATAAAAACAGCACTGTCTACAGGGTGCACAGGTTAATGGAAGACACTCTATACTGTAAAGTATACCATAATGAGACGGGACTGAGGGGAGAAGGCAGCATTGCCAGGCTGGGTGTAGCTCAGTGGTAGAGCTGTTGCTGGCATGCATGAAGCCCTGGGTTTCATCCCAGCACCTCAAGATAAAGGCACTACCTGTGCTGAAATTAAAAACAGCATATAACTTTTAAGATTTTGAACCGTATTAGTTTCTTTGAACAAAAAGACCAGAGAAGTCATTTGTGCCTACAGTTACTTTCAGGTATTACTGATTATATTATGGGTGTATTTTGTGGCCTTTAGTCTTGTATTTCATTCTTTAGAGTCAGAGGCTCTGGATGTATCCAGGTTCCTGCCTCCTTGCTGTTCATACTTCTAGTTCTATGGCCAGTTTGGATCCTTGGTTTCATTTTCTTCTTGCTGTTCTGAACCATCAGTTCCAGGGTGTTGTGTCTGCTGGCTTCAGCTTCCCATGCTTCCTGTACTGTAAAAGTTCATTACTCTGTTTGGGTTCATAAACCTGCTCCTGGTTGACTGTGCAATGATTCTGGGCATATTGTGGGCAGTGTGGGTTTCAGGAATTAGGGTACAATGTCAATATACCATATCGTCTACCTACCCAGATCTTTCCCATGGAACACCAGTAATGAATCATGGTCCCAAGGGCAGAGGTGAATTCAAATCCAGACTCTGCTGCCAACCATTGTGTGACTTCCTGCTAGTTTCTAAAGTTTTCTGAGCTCTTTTTTTATTCATAAAATGGCACAGTAGTACTCAATTCATAGTGAGTTAAACTAAATACAGTAACTCTTCCTAAGTCGGCTTTTAATAGCTAGCTTCTACTTCCATCTCATCATTCAGTGTTCAGAGCTTAAGCACTGTTCGCTCCTTGAAGCTCCCTTCCTTAACTAGTCAGCTCCTGCTGCTTTCCTCTGAATTCCAACCCAAGCCATCTTGCTCAGTGCTGCACGATGCAGCATGAGTACCGGTTGCATTGTTAGGACTGCTCTTCTGCGTCCATTTTCTATAGTTTCACTTACCACCAGACAACTGCAGTCTGGAAATATTAAGTGGAAAACTCCAGAAATAGCAGTCATACATTTTGAATTGGGTACTGTCCTAAATGGCATGATGAAGTCTCACCCTGTCTTGCCCTGGATGTACCTAGTGTATCCATGCGGTCTATACTGCCTGTACCTTAGTCACTGAGGAGCCTTCTCGGTGGTCAGGTGGACTACAGAATCCATAGTTCATGTTAAACTCCGTTTTACTTAATGACTCCAGCACGCAAGAGTGGCGGCAATATTGGTAATTTGGATTTGTCAAAGAGACACCTAACATGTTTCCTTGAAATGAAAAAGTAAAAGTTCTCAGCAAGGAAAAAATCTAGGGCTGTGGTTGCTAAGATCTGTAGTGAGAATCGTGAAGGACAAAGAAATCCATGCTGGTTTTGCTGTTACAGCTCGGACTGCGAAAGTTAGGAGCACAGTGCATGGTAAGATGAAAAGGCACTGAATTTGTATAGGGAAGGAACACAGTTTGTGGCCGTCACTAGGGGTTGTGGACCACACCCCACAGGGTAAGGCAGGCTGCCGCACAAACAGAACACAGGTAATGGAATGGCCGATGTACAGCAGTGCCCCGCTTCAGGAGTCTCCATATGTGCTTCTTTTCAGATGCTCGAGTCAGAGGGTGGTTCATGTTGGACTCTTACCTTCCTACCTTCTTTCTAACTGTCACATATCTGCTTTCAATATGGCTGGGTAACAAATACATGAAGAACAGAGCTGCTCTGTCTCTCAGGGGAACCCTCACCTTGTATAACCTCGGGATCACGCTTCTGTCTGCATACATGCTGGTAGAGGTAAGTGTGTGCGTGGCCAAGGTGAGTGGCTGAGCCGTGTCAGAAGCAGTCGCGGGTGCCCTAACAGAACCATGCGGAGTTACTGCCAGCACTGGTCTTCAAACCTCAGCAACCCGCCCCAGGATTGGGTATCATTCCTTACTATAGATTGGATCATAGACCTTTTAAGTTAAGCTTTGGGCACAAAGTTAACCTGCTTCTTAGGTTGAAAAATGCACCAACCAAAAAATGTGCGTGTCCTTTAAAAGTTGCTCTTGGGTCCTGCTAGCCCTTCACTGGTTCCCAGTTGAGAAGAGGAGCGTGAAGCCCCCAGCAGGAACCTGATTAGCCCATCAGGAAAGTCCCACTTTTTCCTCTTTCCGTGGATTCATCTGTTATGATCATCTTTCATTGTAATACAGTTAACAGGTGTTTTGTTAGAAGAAGTAGAACGGTAGAACCTCACAAAAATCTGAAACATGCTAAATGTTATTTAGTAGTTCATCTTTTGAATATTTTAGTAGATCCATACATTAACATTTCTATAAGGCAACAAAGAATACTAGTTATTTTGCCTATCCCATCTTATGTAAATCCATACCAAATGCCTCATGTTCTAGAATTCTAAATTTTTACAAGACAGGGCTTTTGTACAATTTTCAGCAAAGAATAAACCATTTTCTCATGATGTGGAAAGAACGGTGAATAATGAAGTAGGAAGACTATTCAAATCACTGTTCCATACTTTCTAGCTGTGTAATTCTTTTTTTTCCTTTTGAGGTACTGGGGAATCGAACCAAGGGCCTTCACTCTGGGACACATCCCTTACCCCTTTTGACTTTTTACAACAAAGTCTACGTCACTAACTTTCCTAGGCTGGGCTAGAACTTTAATCCTCCAGCCTCAGTCTTCCAGAGTGCTGGAGTTACAGGCATGGACAACGTGTCTGGCTTAGCTGGGTAATCTTGGGTAAATCATTTAGTAAATATTTACTGAGCACTTACTATGTTCCAGGTATTAGACAAACTTTTTAGACAAAAGATGAACTAAAAAAAAAAAAGTATAGGTTTTATGGAGGTTTTTAGTTTTTCAAGAGTCAATTAATCACATTGTTTAGTAAATAATTGTCATAAATAAAATGAACTTTTGAGCTCTGGTTTTTTGTAAAATGGCAGTATATACTTCATAAAGTTGATGAATTATAAAATTTATATAAATATAAAATGGTAATTTTCTGAGGCTTTTTTTTGTAGTCAAGACTGGCCTTGAACTTACTGTGTAGACCAGGCTGGCCTTCAACTCCAGGCAATCCTCCTGCCTCAGCCTCCAGAGTGCTGGGATTATGGGTGTGTACCACCACACCTGGTTCTTCATATTTATTTCTATTCAATTCTAGATTTTCTTGGCACAAAGGGGTGATTAGATTGATAGACAAAGTATTGTTACTCAAATGATTGGTTAGAAGTAGAATACCTGAGACTGTGACTGTTCATTTCAGTTCAGCGACAGGAACTGGACCCCTGATGGGGCTCAGAACAGGATTAAGTTGGACTCAGCCTCTGGGAGCCTCTCCTCACACTTGGCTGGATGCCGAAGGTGCGAGTGGGGCATTCGCTGTGTGTCCAGACTCCTGTGTCAATTTTCCCTCTCCTGATTCTTTGGCAGCTCGTCCTGTCCAGCTGGGAAGGAGGCTACAACCTACAGTGTCAGAATCTCGACAGTGCAGGCGACGCTGACGTCCGGGTAAGTGCTAGAAAGCAGCTTCGCGAGCTTTTCTCCCTCTAGGACCAGGCGGGCTGGGAGGAGTTTACATGGATTCCGCGAAGGGCAGGGCCCCAAAACTGACTGCTGAATTCAGAGAGGAGGCTGAATGGGCCCCGCTCCTGTGTCCCAGATGCCGCTGCAGGCCGGATGCGGACGGCCTGTCCACTGTCAGGACACTGCCCTGGCTGTCTGAAGCAAAGCAACTTGTAGACCACATTCAGTGCAATAAATGATACATGAATTTACTGACACTGTTTTTAAAAAGAAACAGTGACAGGATAAACCAAAAGCTAATCCGGACAGGGAGCAGGACAGAAAGGACAGGAAGGGAAGCTGGACGTCTCTCAGTCTATGCTGTGTTTGCATCGGAATCATTGTTAAAGCAGGGCACCCTCTCCTTAAAAAGCTGGAAACAACCTAAATACATAAACATACCTCTAAAGGGTAGTGTAACTTTATAGAAAATTGTTCAGTGGTTCTTCTAACAGCATTTCGAGTGGACTTCCTTAACAAGAAGTATCTTAATAGAATCAGTCGGTTTTTTCTGTTGCTAATACTGGTTATTGCTGTTCTGAGACTGTTAAGACATTGGAGGATGGAGTAAATGTATAATGAATAATGTTAAGCAATTAATATTTAAAAGAAAGAGGTAACTATAAGATAGTCAGATACTCCTTAATCATAGATCCAAACCAGGAAGACTTAGCTTAGAAAGGGCCTGGTCAGTCGAGGACAGCCCAGGGCAGTGAGCCAGATCGGCTCCCTAAGGAGAATTTTCCACAGGCAGGGAAGGACGCTTAGAGAGGTAGTTAGTTCCCCGTTAGGCCTGGATATGTGTTTAAGGTAAACCTAGGAGATCTTACGGCCCAAAGCACCCGTGACTGAAGTCAAGACAGACGGACAAGCCACCTTCAAAAGCACTCCCTGGCAGAAGATGGGGCAGTTTGAGTGTGAAAGATACTAAATATATATTTTCAAAAACATATGTTTAAAATGATACTTTACATTGAAAAGCCACTAGCATGTGAGGGTTGGTAGAACACCAACTCCTTTTAGGAAAAGAGTTAAACATTTAGCTGCCATTTACACGTGAGCGTCCAAATAGCTAAACAAGGCAAGTTCTGTATGGAAGAGAAAACAAAGTAAAACCGAAGCAGAAGATCACAGTTTACGTCTCCCAGGGAAACAGTAGCTCGGCCAGCAGGCGCCTGTGATGGCCAGGCCGTCGGCGCCTGTGATGGCCAGGCCGTCGGTGGGGCGCCGTGTGCAGGGACGCCACCTCTCAAACCTCGGAGCCGGGTGCTGGGGAGCGCGGAGCCGTGCTGCTCCTGCTGCTAACGGTACCTGCCGGGAAAAAGACGCCTGCCTCTCATCTCAGGGCCCCATACACAGAGCCCAGCTGAGGAGACAAGGGCCCAGAGCCGGGCGTTTGTGTGCAGGAGGACAAAAGTGCGGAGTGAGAACTCTTAGGGATTAGAAACTTGACATTTCTGTGACCGTTGGGAAAATCTAAACATACATTATTGGCAGATACTAAGGAACTTTGCTAGACAAGATAATTACCTCATGGTTGTATTCAAATAGCCAAAAGCCTTACATAAGTCGGGACAGTTTATAGATCAAATGATCTGATAAAATGATCTTGGGTTTGCTTATGATGTACACTTCCCTCCCCCTCAAAGGAAAATTCCGACTACATTGGAATCACACTGCAAATTCTTAAAGGTTCATTGATGGACACACAACACTCATCATATTTCTTCTCCCTGTCTTAGTACATGTTTGAAAATTTCTGTGATTAACATAGATATATTATCAATAAGCAATAGTATAAACTATTCCAAATCTCATTAACCTTTCAATGCCTAATGATAAGTTCATAGTGAAATGCTTTTTCTTCTTTTTCTTGAATTTTTCTAGGTAGCATGAACTTCATGCAAATTTTTTTAAAATTTTAATCTTTAGTACCAATGGTCTAATGTCCATCAAATGTACATATAAAAAACATCTTCACAGCTATAACACAAATACAGATACATCGGTTTCCTCATACCCTTTTACTATAATGTGTTACCATGGATCAGTGGATTTTGAGATACTGTACAATTTTTTAAGTGGTTGTTTTATATGTGGGTTAATATTTCTGCAGGTCAACAGTTCCATCAAACATTAAGATAAATGCCACTGTTTCATGATTATCTTGGCAACAGAGTATAGCATAATCTAATCTGAAGGTTCCTGTTATATAACATGTCCAAAAATATCTTACATTTAAAAGTCAGTGTTAAAAGCACAGTCCTCCTAACCAAAGAAATCTGCATGAGGAATTCTAGAGGGAAATTGGTAATTCCCTACCACTGTTAGGGTGAAGACCAGCTTAACTTTTAGTGTTTTGGACTGAGAAAGAGTCATAAAAGCTGTGGTTGTAGATGGCCCATGGGTAATACAACCTTCGAGAGACAAACGCATGTCTTTCAGAACACTTTTGGGTTCATGTAACAAACTGTCACAACCCCCAGGCGCTGTGAAAGCTGAGCGGATGGCTGTCTCCACGTGACCTGTGATGGATTTGGCCACACACTGCACCTTCACAGGAGTGTTGGGGTGGCGTGCAGTAACTGGGGAATATAAATAAATGAAAAGGCAGCTGGTCCACCTGGAGGACAGGGGACGGTAGGGTTCAAGAGATGCCTCAGATGATCAGCCCCGGGCAGGGAAAAGAACACTGGGCCCTCAGAGGAGTGGACAGACCACCGAGCACACAGGGGCAGGCGAGGCTGGGCGGGGGTGCGAACAGCAGCCCCGGGGGAAGCTGGACTTGGTCAGAGGAGCAGCTCTTGGAAAGGTAACCCAAGTCTTTCAGCAGGTGGCTGGGGACACCAGATCGGCAATCAGTGGTCAGCAAGAAACACGGACGGTACCAGGTGCTCAGCCGCAGGACAGCACAGGGGCATTTTCATGTCTCAACTTTTTTCCTCCTTTTGAAAATGCTCACAGGTAGCCAAAGTGTTATGGTGGTACTACTTCTCCAAATTGGTGGAATTCCTGGACACCATCTTCTTCGTTTTGCGAAAAAAGACAAATCAGATTACTTTTCTCCACGTCTACCACCACGCCTCCATGTTTAACATCTGGTGGTGCGTTCTGAACTGGATTCCCTGTGGACAAAGTAAGCCCCTTGCTGGTGGTCTTCAGTTCTGTGGAGCGGGTCTCACGAGACCCCGAGGGCGCTTGCTGGATGGTGGGCATTGCAGGGGCACCAGTGGGCGTGGCGGCCGCAGAGGAGCCTGCCTGGCAGCAACGGGGGGTGGGGGGGGGGTGGTGTGTGCGCGCACGTGTGTGTCTCTGCCCACGGTGCTTCTTTCCCGTGTGGCAAAGTCTGTGTCTAATCATCAGCGGAAGCTGCTGTTTCCCTGCACCCGGCGCCCAGGCCGGTGCTGCCCTGTCCCTGTGGACCATCGTGGCTTCCCTGGGACTCAGCTCAGCTTTAGGGTTTCTTGGTTTTACAATCTGGAAAATTAGTGCGACACCTCTGAGTGACCCACTAGAGCATCAACTTTGAATTTGTTAACAAATAGAGTATTTATTCATATACTTTATATGAAACAAAAATTTCACAAAACAGTATTTACCATGGCTCTTCCTGATGCACTGTGTGGGGTTTTTTAAAATCCCGTTTCACTTTTACAAAGAGGTGATGACAGTTCTCTAAGAGGTGATGACCTCTTAAGAGTTTGAGAAGCACTGAGCTAAGGGCAGCAGTACTTTCTGCTGTGTGTCCTCCCCAAGAATCTGAAAATACTCTATGGAAAATCAACACAGGTGAACTTTAAGAAAAACTATTTTGTCCAAGGATTTAGAATTTTGTAGATGACAAAGAAAACCTCCAACATGCTTGGTATATAGACTTCCCTTGACTTGCAGTGGAGTGACACGCAGTAAACCCATGGTAAGTGGAAAATACCGTGGGTCTGAAATGTTTCCTGCGAGCACCTGAGCTTGGCCGTGCAGCACACTGTTGGCTGTGTCCCTGCGGGGCAGTCGGGCACTTTGGTCCCTGCTGCTGCCTAACATCACAAGAGATGATCAGACCATATATTTCTAACCTGGGGCAAAACTGACTGACTTAAAATTCAAATTATGGTGTCCACTGAATGTGTCCCTTTCAGATCATTGAAAAGTTTAAAAAATCATGAAGTAGAACCACCACAAGTTAGGGTGTATCAGTGGCTGTAAAAGTCGAAATAGAAACCATAACACAGGGAGGGAAACTTCTAGGGTACAGTGGGCAGAAAGAAATGCTTCCTACACTCCTCCTAGAGGGACAGCTGTAGTTCCTTATATGTAGTTATTATGGAGGACTAATCAGTATCAGGGGAATCACCAAGGTTAAGTATTTTTTACAATTGTCAACAGTTTCATTACAATTCACCGAGCATATAAAACCCAAATCACTCAAAAACAGTACTATGAATAAGATATGTGACAGTTTTCATTAGAGTGCAATAAAAATTATAAGCACCAACTAATTGATAGATGCAAACCATTAACTGATAGAAATGAAAACTCACAAGTAAATAATCACTATATTATGCTGCCTAGAAACTGAATTTGTGTTTTCATATAAAGGCAAGTGTCATAGCAGCTTATTTGAGCTAGTGTTGATGGAGAAGTTACTGTACACATGATACTGTACCTGTTCCTATTCACTGATTTTCCCTTCTTCAGTTAACTGCTCTAGGATTAGTGTCTTACTTTTCTTGTTGCTGAGACAAAATGGTACCCAAAGTTAAAGGAGTAAAGGTTTATTTGGCTCACAGTGTGTAGAGGTTTCAGTTCATAGTTGGCTGGTTCCCAAGCAGGATGACACGGCAGAGGGGCATCCTAAGGACAGTTTATGGTGGGCAGAAGGCGGCCAGCAGCCAGTGATGACCCTCTTTCTGCCCCTTCTATCCAGGCTACACCGGGCCTTAATCCCAGCGTCACACCCCCTAGAGCCAGCTACCTCCAGAAAGCCCCACCTGTGACCCCAGAGGGATTTGGGGAGGTGTCTAAATACAAGCATAACAATTAACAAACCAGACTAGAGGATTTGACCAGCGTATGTGTAATGCCCGTAGTTTATGTAGTATTAGCTTGGTTAATCCTGCCACAGCCTCAAAGGTAGTTACGATCATACCGACTTTCCAAATGAAAAAATTTACTGTCAACACCAAGGAAGTAGGGCATGGTGGCACACTCCTGTCATCCTAGCACTTTAGGGGGCTGAGGTAGGAGAATCAAAAGTTCAAGGCTAGCCTGAACTTGTTTTGTGATCTTGTCACAAAACAAAACCCCACCAAAGAGACACAACTGTGCAGTCCTCTTAACACCAGCCTCTCCCTCCATGGGCTCAATATAGTTCCCAGATCCGCAGATGTGTCTCCCAGCCTAACACTTTAAAGCTTTCCCTAAATGCTGGGCACTGTCCTAAGCACTTCCACATTCTGATCTAAATTCTCACAGCAGGGAGTGCTGTTTGCAGTGATCAACCCATCTGTGGCCTCTTCCCTCCTTGCAGCTGAAGCCTTCGGTAATTAGTTCTCTTAACATTGGACACAGCCACCTCCTTGGTTTGCTGAAACACCAGACACCATATTGGCATCAAGTATAGAGAAAATCTCTGATGAAGATGCTGCCCAGAGACTGGGTTTTAGACAGCTATGTCCTTAAAAGTCCTTTAGGTGCCTAGGCACTGGGAGGGTCTCACCCTGCTGGATCTTTTTTCTCCCCAAAGTCCTCTTTCCAGCATCATCTGGCTTGTAAGTCCCTTCAGGTAGAAACTGTTGTATTTGTACCCTGTTCAGCCCTATGCGAAACTGCTAGGGATTGAACCAGGACCTGTGCATGTCAGGCAAGCACTCTGCCACTGAATACATGCCCAGCCCACACAAGGCTCTTCCCACAATTTAAAGTGCTCGGCCAAAGTTTTGCCAAAACAAAAATAGTTCTGTTTTTGGAGACTTCCGCCACTAGCTTTAGACTGATACTTTTTTTCTGATTAGCTGACAGTAATGACAATAAGAGAGAGACTAAAACCTTTACAAATAAATTGTTCGATTGGCATTCTGGCTGAAAAACTGTCCCACTTTAATCCTACCTAGGCGTTTTTGTGGGGTCCTAGAGTAACAGCACAAAAAGTGGGGAATGTATCAGCATGAATGTTAATGATTGCCCAAACCTCCAGTTTCCTTCGGTGCTCAGAGGAATCACTGGAAAAGGGTGCACAGTCTTCCTGTCTAAAGAGTAGCCCTTCTGCTGTGTTTCTGCAGGTTTTTTTGGACCAACCCTGAACAGCTTTATCCACATCCTTATGTACTCCTACTACGGACTCTCCGTGTTCCCATCTATGCACAAGTACCTGTGGTGGAAGAAATACCTCACACAGGCTCAGCTGGTATGTCATCTCCTCTTCAGGCTTTGCCATGTGGCTCCTAGTTGGAGGAACAGAAATCTTCTCAATCTGTGATGAGGCTTTTTCTCTAAAAAAGCCTCTGTGCATTAAAATGTCTTTGGGTACGCAATTAGCTTATAGTAGAAAGTTCCTTGGTTTGAAACGTAAAAATGAATATTTTAAATATATAAATTATTTTTAAATCTTAACTACTATTTTGTGAAGAAATTGTAATGGGTAGTTTCATTTACCAATAGTAATTTCAAATAAAATTCCGGGAGGACGATGGGCTGCTTCAGTGCTCTGCTAGCTTTACTCCTGCAGTATGCGGGAATGGAAGTGCAGGCCGGTGGCTGCCCTCTAACCTGAGGCGCTGTGCCCCGTCTGTGCCCGCCCGCCCACCCCCAGGTGCAGTTCCTGCTCACCATCACGCACACGCTGAGCGCTGCAGTGAAGCCCTGCGGCTTCCCCTTCGGCTGCCTCATCTTCCAATCTTCCTACATGACAACGCTGGTCATCCTCTTCTTAAATTTTTACTTTCAGGTACGTGAAATGTCAGTATTCAATTTTCATAGGTTGTGTACTTTTGCATTATATATTTAATTTTACTGAGAAATATAGTAACAAGGTTTGTGAATAAATTCACATAGTGGTCTACAGAGGAAGAAGTAAAACTTGCATGCTTCCCTCCTGTCCCTGCACGCTCCCCCTTAGAGGGGAACCACAGCTCCTGGGGATGGTCTGGTGGCCACTCTGTTAAAACTCACATGCATGCGTTCAAGTGTTCATCAAAACTGTTGGTGACTTCGAGTTTTCGGTTTGTATCAAGTATTTGCACTGTGCTGCCGAAATCAATGAAAACGTAATGGATGGAGAAAACATGTGAGAGTAGTAAGTTATTAAACTCAGTAAGCCCGTATCAGCTACTTGGATGTTGTAGACCATTTTTAAAAAAGTTTTTTTTTAATATGAATCAGTATAGGAAGGTCACATTGGCCTTTTCTTTATTCAAGTGTCATTTTCTTTTTAATTAACAATTTAAATGGGAGAGAGCTTCAAAGCAATTTGGTATCCAGCTACCAGAGCGAAGGCCTCAGGTGGTTAGGATTTTAAATTGCTTTCCTTTGTGAGCTGGGGAAATGCAAACTTCAAAAAAAAGTACTGAGAACATTTATATTGCAAACAGTACTTTTGAAGTTGTATTCAACTGTATTTGCTTCCTCAGACAAATAAGTGCTAATTTTTCAGTTTGCATTTGCTGAAAGTTAACCCACAGTGGTTTTAGGCATTTCTGGAAGCTGAAATTTGACAACTTTTCTGATCCATTACCTGGTGTATCAGAAATTGGGCTGACTAGGCTTTGTCTCTTACTAGAGAATTTCTAAGAAGTAACCATCAGTGACACCAAACCAAGCCTCCCCCCATACACACACGTGTTAAAGGGCAGCCTTGAAAGTGCTTTTTGTGCTAATCCTGGAGGAGAAGCAGGCAGACAGCAGGGGCAGGGTACGGCGTTGAAAGCTTTAACCTCAGGATGGTTCCTGCTGAATCTTAGCGCTGAGGCTCACTATACAATTTCAGCCTTGACCCTTGTTAATAGCAGTGTGTGTTTTTTATCTTTAACCAGAGGTATGTAGGTGCTCATTGTACAAATACAGATTCTGATTAGAAAATCTAGCACCCAAGAAAAACGTGTACCTTTTTATGCTATCTTCAACGCTGAAGCACGGTCTTATGAAGGATCTTTTCTCCTTTTTTCTTTTCAACATACACACCAATCCAATAGACATATCGGAAAAAGCCAGTAAAGAAGGATTCAAAAGAGCCACTTGCTGCAGAGAAAGAGGTCAGGAACGGTCTTTCCAAAGCCTGCCTCGCTGCTGCGAACGGAGTGGTCAGCAAGAAAGCACAGTAACGGCAAAAGCACACGCACGGCAGTAGGCTGGCAGGTTCGCTTGTTTTAAAGCAGAGACTAAATTGAAAGTTGTGTGTTTTAGCATAAACTAATTTCTTTTTGTGTTTATAAATCATTTGTATCCAGAATGTATTAATATATTGCCACTAGGTTGCTCTGTTAACCGAATGCTTTGGACAGCACAGAGGCGAGGCTGGACTCTGATGACCTCAGAACAGGTGCAGCTTTCCCACCCCGAGGCCCCGCCCGGGAGAGCCACTCTGTGATGCCCGGCATGCGTGTGCAGCCAGGAAGCAGGGCACTGTTCCTCCTGGGGGTCTCCGGACCCCCAGACGCAACTGTGTAGAGACTGTAAGTATAGGGTACGGTCTAGTCTACATTAAGCAATAATTACCGGTGCATAACATTCTTCTGTTTTTAAGCAATATGAGAATCAACCCTAGAAAATATTAAAGTGGGATCATAATCACAAGACAAAAACCTAGCAAAACCTGTTTTCTTCACGCCAGTCTTGTCAGATTTTCAGTCACTTCTAATAAAATAAAATTCTAGTTATTCTAAGAAAAAAAAAACTCTGCCAAATCCTCATAACTCAGGGGCTTTGGATAAGAGTCATTCTTGATTTTAATTTGATCTAAATTTTTCATCTATTCCTATCTCCCATGATAGTGAGCCTAGGTTAATAAATGTGTCTCATCCTAAAATCTCTGTTGCTGTCTGGCTGCCCACTTCCTTTCAGGACAAGGACCACAGTTGAGTGATCCCTTCCCTTTGGATGTCTGTGCCACCGGATTATTATAAATCAGAAGTACCAGCAGTGTGGACAGGGTAATGTTAGTGAATGTTACCCCGAACACTCCCTTACCACCAATCTCTGCAGGTTAGTTTTTGAAGCAAGAAAGAGATGTAGTTTGGAAAGATCTTGACACTGAGCCGCGGGCAGGTCCAGATCATGGTGAAAACGCCCTCCTGCTCAGCACTGTGGTCTCCGCAGAGCAGCAGCACAGCCTGGGGAGCGCTGATGAGGACCCTTCTCCCCAGTGTTGGCCTGCTACTTCCAGTGGCCGTGTACCCACCACGAAAAAAAGCATTTCCTAAAGATTACACCGTATCAAACGAGATTTGCCAACTGTGACACTTTGCTTTCCTGTGTCACTTTTCTAAAATGTAAGTTTTTATACATGAAATTAACGTCAAATGCATGAGCACTGGAAAGGCACTTTTACTGTTCCCTAATGGTGCCTTCCTGCCCCTTTTTTACCATCCATTTCAACTCTAGTTTTAAATTTTCACTGTGGAGGGGTGGCTTTTTTAAACTTTTACTTTGTGTAAACGACCCTTTCTCAGGACTCGGGCATGCATTTTGAAGGTGACTAACACATCTGCAGGGTAAAGGCACTGTGCCCTGTGGCCCTTCGAGTGGCGCCCGTTTCTGTTGAGCAGAGCTCTCCCAGTCTGGTGCCCACTATTCTCCCGAATGGTTCTCTAAAATTGAGCTGCCCTAGGTGCTTACCACCACCCGCTTCTCTTCTCATTAGCTGTACTCAGTGTTTTGTGCTTTTCCAGGAACTAATTTCGAAACTAGGGCTAGCCTTAACCATGACTGTTTTTATACTTTCATGGCAAGACCCGGATCACATAGAGAAGGTCCCTCTGAGAGACAGACAGAGCCACAATTTGTTACCAAGTGCATTCGGGGTAAAAAGGCAACTCAGAGGCAGGCGGCGCAGGTCGCTGGTCATCCAGCCTGTTGTCATTGCTGTGAGCACCTGGTCCCACTGCAGCTTGGGGCGCTTTCATGGGCCCCCACATCTATGCAGCAGGGAGCCAGTCCAGCGTCAGCTCGCCGTGCACGCAGCTCCAAATGAGAACCGGCTCTGGTGAAGCAAAGTGGAAACCCGTAGCCTTAGACCACTCGGGCTGATGCACACAGAGCCGTGCCATGTGGGCCACCAGCAGTGAATCAGGCGAGGATTGTAACAGTCATCAAGTGCTATAACTTAAAAAACCAAAATGTTACTTTCACGGTGATTTTCCTAAAACAGCTGTAAAATAATATTGCTGTGTCTGTAATCTGTTAAAAAGTGAATACTGTCAATTCCCTTTTACCCCAGGAATGAAAATACTTTAAAAGATACTGTAAAGTTGGTTAGTAATTCCCTCAGCTTTTAAAACAAAATGGATTTGGTGAGTGGGATTAAACAAAATTTTTCAAGCCATCAAAATTATGTATTGAACTAGTTAATAAGCCTATTGAGGAATAAAGTTCTCTCCACCCCCTCAGAGAAGTATTTCTTTTAGGAGAAAATTGTATTTGCTGTGATGAGCAGTATTTTATATGTAAGAGACCATTCTAGTTTGTCCCTGTATTTCCACATCATTTTTGAATGTTTATTGGGCTTGCTTATTTTGGAGAAAAAGGATATGACATTTTTGTTTTCTTTTGAAAGTACTTGTATCATGAGTAGGATGGACAGGGAGGTAGGAAAAGCCATTTTTCTTTGTAGATAAAAAGCATTCTGTATGATTATTGTATAATAAATTGATTTTTACACTAAAAACATGGTGGTTTTTATTATGGCCCAAAGAAGTTAAAATGTGTGTCTACATGGCATTCCAAATGATCACTCAGGGAGTTTTTTAAATAAAGTAATGTTTTAGCAGTTAATTTCATAATGTTAACTCTTCATTCAGTGAATTACGGCCTTTTATGTCACATTATGCTAATGGCAGCTATACACCAAGTTTCCAGAAGATGGTCACTCAAAAATGCAAGACTCATTAGCTGAGCAGAGGTCACAGTAGCTCTGACACATGACCACGTGGGGGGGGCGTGGCCTGGGGAGGAGCCATAGGTGTGAGGGGAGCATGTGAAGCAGAAGCGGTGTTGGGCAAGGACACCTGGCCCGTCCCCGGACAGGGACACAGGTGAGCCAAGGGGCCCTCATGGAAGCTGGGAGACTTAAGTGGGGTGGGGAGAAGCATGACTCAGCACTCTGTCAGGGCAGAGAGGAGTCTAAATGCATCACTGAGGATGGCAAGTCAGGCTCGACAGCATAAACCGTGTGCTGAGCGTGTTAGGAGGCGGCTGGATCCTGGGTGGCAACCGCAGTGCCGCAGGGCGAGTTCAGGATGCACCGAGGAGGAGGGCGGCAGGGGGCTTCATCCTAACCTCCAATAGGAGCTGGATCAAGGCCGGGAGGCGAACGGTGCAGAGAGCCCCCTCCTCATTTTCCTTCATTATTTTAAACAGCAGCTAGAACCAACTTTTGGTTATTTTTGAAACTCATAATGTAGCCCAGACTGGACTCACACTCATGGCTGTGCTCCTGCCTCAGCCTCCCAAGTGCTGGGACGACAGGTGTGGGCCACCATGCCTGCTGCACCAGCTCCTTACGACTAAATTTCTAAGCATAACAGATAAACCGTGTGTCTGGGGTAAGACCTACGTAACGGTTGCTGTAAATTAAACATGAAGTTCACCGAAAGTTTTCCCTTTCTATAAGGAAAGGCTCAGCGTGTGCTTTAATTTACAGCAAGCTTTCTTCCAAATCAGGTTACTCTCACATATTTGGGGAACAGCTCTTCTCAGGGTCCACCAGGAAACAAGTACTTCCAAGTGTGCACCATACTGGCTACATACTAAGCCTTCAGGGAAACGTGGCTTGGCGGCCTGGAGGAGGTGGGTGAAACAGCTCTGAACTTGCGGGTCATTTTCCCACATTAAAACTGCCAAGGAAACTGGGATAACAACAAGTGCACAAGACAATCCATAGATCACTCCAGCCGAGCAGTCCGTGCAGTCCCTGCAGAGCTGAGGAGCCACTCGTTACACAGCTGTGGCTGAATGGCATTTGGCTGACAAATGAGGCCAAGTTCACCTCCACCCTCAGAACCCCTCCCTGTACCTTGAAGTCGCAGTGCACCAGTCTGAAACTGCCTGGTATCTTGGGGTGGCTGTGCGCTGGTATTTGCCATCCTATGGTCACTCATCTTTTATACTTGGCCCATTAACCTAGCTGGCCTGAAGATACTTGAATTGTAACTGCTGAGTGTCCAACAACAAAGGAAAAAGTTCTGTTCATTATTGCTAGACCTGACATCACATAATTGGAAGGAAATGGACCTACCATCTTACATCTGTAGCCCTAGAAACAAATGATATATGTTACAGATTTGGCTGAGAGATTACAGTCCCATGTAGAGCAAGCCCATATCCCTTTACAACTAGTTGGGCCATGCACACCTGTAATCCCAGCACTTGGGAGACTGATGCAGGAGGATTGCTGCAAGCTTTTAAGACCAGCCTGGGCTACAAAGTGAGCTCAAGGCCAACCTGAACAGACAAGATTATTATTACTACTACTAATAATAATAGTAATTTATACCTGTGGTTGATCTACTCTGGAAATGTTGTACTCTGTTGAAAACATCAATATCTATGTTATACAGTACTGAGTATTACGCTAAAGATACAGAATGTTGCAGAGGAAATATCTGCCCTTAGACTCTGGCAAAGTATGAGATGTGATGAAAATACACAGTGAATGTTTAAAAAACTATTATAATAAGACACATTGCATTAATTCCCTCAAAACACTCCTCAGTTTGAACACATCCCATCCCATCGTTCCTGCTCCTTCTGGAAGCAGTTTGGACATTTCCTTTCATGGCTTCATAAGACATAAAAAAAATAGTGAATTTGGTAAGGCAGCCTCATAAAAAAGCATTACTGTGTGTTCTCACCCACCTTGGTCACCAGTCTGGCTCTGTGCAACTCCTAGCTCTGAAAGGTAAATGCTGTGAATCCCGGACTAAAGACACTCGTGAGGAGAGACTCCTAGAGCTGCTTTGGAAAGAGGCAAGAATGACAGGGTAAGCGAGTTCAAACTGAGCTGAAGTATTCTGAGTGAAATTAATAGCAATGTGACTTCTAAATTTTTAAGAATTTTTTAACATTTTTTAATCACAGTTCATAGAGAAACACTTAACCGTTTACCAAAGAAACTGTTAGTCTAAGCTTGGTTTTGATGGTTGAATAATTCAGACAGACAAGGAAGCAACTGCATTCAAGGCAGTCCCAGAGGTGAAATGCCTAGGATCTAACAGGCATCAGCATTCCTTAAGCAAGCGATTTCTTAAATTCCTCCAATGCGCCAGGAGAGGCACAGGGTTTAAACTAAAGGGTCAAAAACAGACAAATGGCTGGCAAGGGTTGTGAGACACCGCTTAACTCCACGACAGGCCACTACCACGTTCTGTAAGAATGCACTGTCCAAAACAAAACATGATCTGAAATAGGCAGATGGGCATTCTGCAAATGGGAAGGAGAACTGGAGATGGAGAGGGGAGAGCAAGGGGAAGAGAAGAGAATGCAGATGTGTTATGTACACGTGCCGCCTCCCAGCAGGACTGCAGTCTCTATTTACAGCAAATGCATACCAATACACACAGATGACCGCTGAACGCACCAAGATCCTCCATCTCATGACTAAACACAAGCACGGTGGCCACCAGTGACTGCTAATCAGCTGGCAGCGTGACTCTACCGTCCTTGGCTTAGAAGAACCATGATGGCCATGGAAGTCTTGATGAGAGAATGATTCTGAGTCACTCCTGCTATGGTGACAAAGACTCTTACCGGCCCTGTGAGCCCCAAGGTGAGAAGCACCGCTGGCGTCCACATCTACAGCCAGATAAAAGTCCCTGATGGGGAGATCTGACTGCACCATCATGGGAGGAAGTGGTCTGCGTGACATCTGATGCTGGAGCCCGAGGGCCACAGGAGAGGCAGATGGCAAGATGGACGCTGGACAGGGGAGAACAAGGACCCCTGGGGACCAATAGCCTGAGCTGGGAGCCCTTGGGAAAAAGCAATCCCTGACATGGGCATGCTGCTTTGCTGCAGGAGCCGGGGCGCAGTGTCACAGCTGCACACACCTGGCCTGGGAGGCAGAGGCGCTGGAGAAGCAAAGAGGCAAAGCCATTGGGCCCACTGGGCCAGGGAGGTGACACATCAAGGTGGTGACACATTGGGAAGGTTGCTCAGCAGGTGAGTGGCCACACGTGTGCTGCCTTCAAATCTGCCACAGGATTGTCTGGCTCACCTGAACCAGGGACATCCAGGAAAGAGGGCTCAGATGTCCAACCAAGGCAAGCCGACATATTCCAAAGCCACTACGCTGTGTAAGTCGAAAATGCCTGTGTTACTGACAAAGATTCTTATAACTTTAGTCAGGCTTCTGAAGCTTTCAAGTTCATCTGGGCACTTCGAATCCTTCCAAATGTGTTTGGCTAGGATCCTCTCTCTCAGGATCAGGTTCCTCATCTGTCACTGTCCCCCAGGTGTCTGGCACCAGCAAAGCACCAGCTGTTAGTCTGGATTACCCAGAATCCCCCTTGCTATTGATGTTTCCTCTTAACTTCCTGTCCACCAACCCCCAGCCCGTTCCTTGGCTGTAAATCTCTATAGCTCATGCTATATTCAGAGTGTAGCCCAATCTCTCTCCTGCATTGAAAAATCCAATTGCAGAGGTGCCTTTCTCTACCTCAATGGTCTCGCATAAAATCTGCCTTGCCATACTGTTTTAATAAGTGTCATTAATCACTTTTTCTTTAATGCTACCTTAAATAAAACAAACCAATGGGCCCAACTTTAACACTGAATTCCTAGCTTGCCTGAATCCCAACAAAAAAGGGCTCAGCCAATAGCGACAAATTCCCTGGAGCCCAAATCCAAGTTCAGGCCCCCTTTATTACCTGCTCAGGAATAAAGACCACATTGTAAATGAGAGAATCAAACCATAAATGAGCAGAAAACTACCACTGGGCCTCCACCCCAAGAAATCCCCATCCATACATGGAAACAAGGTCTCCATGCATCATGTCCCCAACATGAACCTCGGGAGATTTTCACCTTGGAGAGTCACTTTTCTCATGTACAAGTGTTCTAAAAAGCATCAAAATTCTTGAGTCATTGACACCTGTCTATATATTCTTGCTACTCCATCCACCATCCTGCTTACACACAGACACACACACACAGAGCATCTTGCATCTTCTTCCTGTTTGGCCTCCGGACAGAAGCCTCAGGAGTTCTGCTTAGAGACAACCGCATTAGTCAGGATTGTCAGCCACTGGCTCACATGATTGTAATGTTCTCAAGGGTGAAATGTGTAGAACAGGCCGGTACTCTGATAAAGTTTCCATAATGCAGTCCTGAGGCAGAATTGCTGCTTCTTTAGGCACCAGAGTCTTTGTTTTTGAAGCCTTCAGCTGATTGGGTGAGGCTCACCGACATTAAGGAAGATTATCTATTTTACTCAAAGCCTGATTTAAATGTTAGACCCATCAATAACACACAATGTGCAGACTTGTGTTCGAGACAAGACAACTAGCTACCATATCCACTGCCACCTAAGACTGACCACTTCATGCCTGTTTTGTAAAAGGCCAAGATTCCATAGCCTGGTCTTACCTTTCTTGGCCTCACTACCACATGACAGATTAGCAGCCCCTCTCTCAAACTCTCCTCTTTGATTTCTGAGACCTTGAAGGAACCTGGAGGTTCCACCACTGCTGCCTCCTCCTCAGTCTGGAAACTTACTCATCCTCCATTTTTGCAAAGGCACTGTGATAGTTTGTGTCTAGATGTCCCCCAAAAGCCTCTTGCAACCACAGGACTTTTTCAGAGGTAGCAGACTCTGAAGTCAGCATCCCAAGTGATGCTGGTATTAAGGGTCTATGATCAGTTCACTAACTGGTTTCACACACTGCCCAAATCCCAGCAGCCTACTTAGAGTTTAAAAGGGGCAGGAAGATACTGTTAAGCCTCATTTGTTGATTTTGCTGTCTTTTGCTTGCCATGTACTCTTCTCTGCAAAGCCACCCTACCCTGGAGTCAGATGATTATGGATGGAAACCTCTAC